CGTCTCAAACTCCTGGGTCCAAGCAATCTTAGGCCTTAGTCTCCCAAAGAGCTGAGATTACAGGCAAGAGCTACCATACCTGGCTTCAGAATGAACTTTTTAAAAATGCCAGTCTGAGCTTGTCTGATCATCTGAGGCAGCATAGCACTGTCAAGAGCAGAGGTTTTGGAGCTAGAATGCTGGGGTCTGTGTCCTGGCCCTGCCACCTATTGGCTGTGTGATCTTGAGCAAATCACTTAACTTCTCTGTATCTCAATTTCTTCACCTGTAAAATGGGGATATGATGGCAGCTACTTTATAGGGTGGTAGAGATGTTTAGCATCAGTCAATTTATTAGCATTGCATTATGCATAATAAGTGTGCCATTATTTTTCTATACTCACCTTCCACCCATTTGGGGTCTCTTCCATGACCTCACACAGCCCTCCAAATAAGGTCCCAGCCCCTCCTTTGCCAGCCTGTTGCACTTTTCCCTTGCCTCTCTTTCCTTACCATGTCCCATACACCTTGAGCTTCTCTCTGCTGCCTGGGTGATCCGCAGCATGCTGCTGAGGGTTAGGCATGTGCTGCTCCTTCTGCCAGAAGTGCTCCCTCCCTGTCCATACCCCCTCAGTCCTCCTCATTTGCCAGGCCCAGACTGACTGACACCTCTCCAGCTCTAGCCTCTATAATACCTTTGAGTTATGTCTGCATATTGCAACCTGCACTTTCTCTCATGCCACGTGTCACAACTAGGTACATCATGGGCTGAAAACTGGCGGCCCTCACGCTGAATGAGGGTTGCGGTCCTGTTTTGGTCTACATATTACTTAAAATTTTCAATTTATTTAGGCTGGGGCATGCCCTCTCCAGCTTGCCACAGGCTCCACCATTCCCTATTGTCTCAGTTCTGTCTGTCTCTGCAGATCAGTGCATTGAAGTCCTTGGTTTGGGCAGATATTTGCATTTGAGACCCCTGGTGTGATTACTAGGTTGATGTTTATTTTTTCTAGTAGACTCTGAGCTCCGTGAAGACTGACCTTGTCTCTCTTATTCCCTGCTGGAGCCCTGGCACCTTTACAGTGCCTACATATAATGGGAACTCAGTACATATTTGGTGAATGAATGAATGACAAGTGGACAGACCTATGAAGTTGGTGCTACAATTAATGCCCATTTTACAGATAAAGATACTGAGGCCCAGCTGATTAATAGCAAGGCTGAGACATGAACTCCAGTTTGCCTGGCCCAGAGCTCAGCTTAATCATTACTTGATATTATCCCAGGCTGTCACCCAATCCTGCTGGTTCATAACTTTTTTTTTTTTTTGAGTTGGAGTCTCACTCTGTCGCCCAGACTGGAGTGCAGTGGCCGCTCCCGGCCACCGCAGCCTCGACCTGCTGGGCTCTGGCGATCCTTCTGCCTCAGCCTTCCAAGTAGCTGGAACTACAGGTGTGCACTACCACGCCCGGCTTTCTTTTTTATTTCTAAAGGGCTATAGACTCTGCTGTATCTACCTCCTGAAATTGTTATGAAGATCAAATGAGATAACAGATATGAAAGTGCCCTAAAAATCAGAAAAGATTAATATTATTAATGAACACTCAGGAGGATGAGGTGGGAGGATCCCTTAAGCCCAGGAGTTCGAGGCCGCAGTGAGCCATGACTGAACCACTGCACTCCAGCCTGGGTGACAGAGAAGACCTTATCTCTAAAAAAACAAACAAAAAAATCCCTCCACATCATTACTGAAGATATTAATTTTCTTTCTAAATATCATTTACGTATTTATATATTTTATAAATGTATTTATTATGTAAATATTTTGTATTTCTATGTTTTACTTTTTTTCTTCTTTTTTCTTTTTTTTTTTTGAGTTGGAGTCTCACTCTGTCGCCCAGACTGGAGTGCAGTGGCCGCTCCCGGCCACTGCAGCCTCAACCTGCTGGGCTCCGGCGATCCTTCCACCTCAGCCTTCCGAGTAGCCGGAATTACAGGCACGTGCTACCATGCCTGGCTGATTTTTTGATTTATTGTAGAGATGAGGTCTCGCCCGTCCAGACGGGTCTTGAACCCGCGGGCTCAGGCAATCCACTCACCTCAGCCTCCCAAAGGCGCGGGATTAAAGGCTGAGCCACCGAGCCCGGCTTATGTTTTACATTTTAATTATAAAATACAAACTATTATTTCCTTCTAAAACAAACTTTCCTGCTTAAAGTCCATCCATGGCTCCCAGCTGCCTCTAGAATACAGTTCAAGCTTCTCTATATTGTATTTTGTATGAAAAAAAAGAATACAGTTCAAGCTGCTTAACCAGCCCCACCTGATGCTCTGGCTCCTGCCAACTTCTCCATTTCTCTGGCTTCTTCTCCTGTTCCTTCTACCTCACCCTGTATTTGTGGCTCCTTGGCTACCCCACCACCAATACACTCAGACCAGCGGTGCTGGTTCCTCCCTCTGACATGCTGTTCTCTCTCCCTGCTCTCTCTCCTTGATTATTCCCAGCTCATCCTCTGAGACTCAGCTCAGGCCTCACCATCCCTCGAAGACTTCCCAGGCCCTCTCTTGTGCCCCCTCTGAGACCTCACAGACCCCCTACTTGCCCTAATCATAGCGTTTGTCCTATTTTTCTGAAAATGATGCTTTCTGCATCTTTCTTTCCCAACAACCTGGGAGTTTCCTAGTGCAGGGACCATGTCTTAGTTTCCCTGTGTCCCTGGTGCCCACATCCAGTACATTTGTTAAGTCTCTCTACAATGCTGAGTGTACCTGTCATAGTCAGCAATTAATAAAAGTATACATCAACAGGGACAGAAGCAAGCACTTCTAAACAAACTATGTATTGTTTGTTTGACAAGACAGTCCATACCCACCAAGGATGATGGAGAATTTACGCATTCATGAAACCAGTAAGTCCTGAGAATCACCCAGGGCTTAGTGCTGTGCCAGATGCAGATTCAAATGAGGCTGTGCACCTGATCATAGTATGCCCAACCACAGTGTGCCAGATGGACGAGGTGGGGTAACCGGAAGGGAGCGAGGTCCACTCAGTTGGGGGAGAAGCGCTGATTGAGGAACCTAGGAGGTCATCAAGGAAGAGGGTCTTGGATATGGACCTTCAAGAACGGTTGGATTTCAAGGGGTGGAGGGACCAGCATGAGGAAAGGTCAGGATGGGATCTGGAGATCTTAGGGTCGCAAGACAATTCCACAAGTTGGAAGCACACTTGTGCTTTAGTAAAGGAGGAATTTAGTTCGAAATACAGTTGCAGTCATCTCCAGTGTCTGCAGACCATGGAAACACATTCAAAATATGCTCCCCATAGGTCTTGCCGCTTCCATGTGTATACTCGCTAGACCCCCATCCATGTTCTGCCCTCATCCAAAGAGTCTTTTGAACATGTATGAATAAAATCAGATTTTGGGCCAGGCTCGGTGGCTCAGCCTGTAATCCCAGCACTTTGGGAGGCCAAGGTGAGT